ATGCGATTTTTTGCGCCCTCAGATTCCAGATTTTCAAATAGTTGTATCTCGGCCAAATATTGTCCGATCCTAACAAACCATACATCAATCGAAAGCTTACTGTATTTATACATGTATAAATCTTAATTCATAACCCTTATGACTGGTTTTGTGGTCCAGCCAGGGTCACAGTGTTCAAAGCTTGTACATCTCATAACCTTATCAAATGTGTGTATAATCTTTTCTGAAATTCTTGCAGCATAACTGTGAATTGATTTAAATAAAAGAAAATATATTATACATTACATAATTAAAACCGTCAGTAGGCGGCAAAGAGTCAGTCTTAATGAGTGAGTGGCCATTCAATCAACCGAATCGTTCAAAAACGCAGATTAATTCAGTGCAAAAATATAACACGTATCGAGATTACATTCTTGTATGTAATACAGTTTAAATATTTGTAACACTTCCAACGTGAACTGCCATGTCGAGCTATTAAAAATGTTCAAAAATAACAAAAACTGTTTTCGCTAACTTGTTAAATATTGATGGCTATTTGCTAGCTACAATATGTGGGACGTTGTTGGCTAGATTACACAATATTATTATACCTTCTCATCCTGTTTTATTCTTTTTACTGTCCTCGTTGACCATAAATGCAAAATCGTCTGCCGGGTAGCGATTTTCTTCGTTTTTCAGAGCTAACGTTAGCTGAGTGTGCTCTCCCAGTCAAACGGCAGTCATACACTACAGCTCTGAACACTGAGTTGGTAAAAGTGCGAAGCATTTCAGTTTGTGCAATGGTGGGATTTTAGTATTTTTGCCTGATTTATTATGACCAACTCACATTCATAATAAATGTATATAACAACAACAACAGTAATAATAATAATAATAATAATAAAACATCAAATAAAACATAGATATTGTACATAGATATTAATGGTTGTGCTTGCTATTCTTTTTATATTGTTAAAGATAAATGTGACAATCTTCATTCTTGCAAATATGACGGTGCTAAATTTTTCAAATAGTCAATAATTAAATAAATCATGCCAGAAAAATGGCGTCAAACTGCCATCAGGCGGTGAAGTCACCGGACGTGTTCGAGCGGTCATACCGACAAAGGGCATCTTTGCCTGACAGCCAAAACCTTGACCTAAAATCACCCCATTTGCAGCGTTGCAAAGTATACTGTAAGTTATACTGTTGACACGACAACTTAATGCGCTGGCTGCTGCGCTTTGCTGTCATAAAAGCGCTTATTATATTATTTTTGCAATAAATTTAGCTATTTTTGATAGATAACATTTTATTTCTATAATTGTTTGTAATAATTTTAATATTTATAGCAGATGTGTCTTTTTAAGATCATTTTCAGCCAATGAGACCAGTGGGCGCGGTCAATTGTTACGTCATTATAATCACTGCATTCCATAGAACGTTCGTGAGTAGTCTATAAATATGAGTGCAGATGCATCATGCATTTTGTAGCGAGTTTTGGCGAGTGATCGTGAGTATGGACAACTTAATGCGCTGGCTGCTGCGCTCTGCTGTCATAAAAGCGCTTATTATATTATTTTTGCAATAAATTTAGCTATTTTTTATAGATAACATTTTATTTCTATAATTGTTTGTAATAATTTTAATATTTATAGCAGATGTGTCTTTTTAAGATCATTTTCAGCCAATGAGACCAGTGGGCGCGGTCAATTGTTACGTCATTATAATCACTGCATTCCATAGAACGTTCGTGAGTAGTCTATAAATATGAGTGCAGATGCATCATGCATTTTGTAGCGAGTTTTGGCGAGTGATCGTGAGTATGCTCTTTACATCTGAATTAGATTTTTTGTTTAATGTTTTCATTTACATTATAAGCATCTGAGTTATGCACATTAATTGGTAAAATAATGTTAATAAAAACTCCACTTGTGGACCCCCACTGGGCGTGGGCATACACTGGAAAACTGTACCTGTAAATGAAAAAAAATCTAACATCGCCAACTTCCAGGCTCTTAAATGTTTACTATTATATATCTCTTGCCTTTCTCTTTCTGCCACAGTGTTTTACAGATATAAAGACAAAGGCAGTATTGTTCATTTCTTTGATCATCTTTCACCATCGAATCACACATCAACATGACTATATCAACCATCCCCACCAGTTTTCCTGAGAGTGCAGTGCAGTCCTCATCTTCTGAGCTCTCAGATGAGCTCACCACTGCCCTGGCTGCAGGGTGGTGGTGGGCAATAATGGAGGTCTCCTCTCCTATATCTGAGGAGCCTGAATATGGGGACCTCACCTCACTGCAGTGGTGGGGAACAATAAAGGCAGGAGAAAATCCATGCCCCTCATCCCTGGTCTTCAGTGATGAATCTGAGAAGGCTGAGTCCCCGCACTCAGGCTTCTCAGATGCAACACTGAATACCAAGGAACTGTGGAGGCAGAAGAAGACACAGAATGCACCCATGCCTCCCAGGTCCCAAAAGGGAGCACCTGTGCCTGTCTATGCTGAGAAGAGGGACCACACCTCATCCCTGGTCTTCAACAATGCATCGGAGAAGGCTGAGTCTCTGCACTCAGGCTTCTCAGATGCAACGCTGAAGACCACAGAGCAACAGAGGAAGTGGAGGCAGAAGAAGCCTCAGGGACCACCTGTGCTTGCTGGGTCTGAGAAGGCTGAGTGTGGGAACTCACTGAAGACCACTAAGCAAGAGAGGCAAGAGTGGAGACGGAAGAAGCCTCAGGGAGCATCTGTGCCTGGTGGCTCCCCCCAGGGACATCCTGTGCCCACTGGGTTCCAACAACGTGGAAAACTCAGGATCCCTGAGCATCTGAGGCAGCACCTGCTACAGGCCGCTAATGAACTGGGAGCACCTGTGCCTGATAGGTCCCCACAGGGAGCACCAGTGCCTACAAAGTCTCTACAGAGAGAACCTGTGCCTGCCTCAAAGGTGCAAAAATTAAAGATCCCTGAGCCATTAAAGCAGGAGCTGCAGCAGCAGAAGCCTCAAGCCTCTTCTGAGAAGGGAGCACCTATACCCAACAAGACCCCAGAGAGGCAAAGGCTCAAAATCCCTGAGCCGCTGAGGCAGGAGCTGCTGCAGCTGTCGAACCGCACCTCATCTGTGAAGGGAGAACTTGTGCCTCAAAAGACCAAGGAGAAGAAGATACCTGAGCGGCTGAGGCAGGAGCTGCTGCAGGTGTCACCCAGAGCCTCTTCTGAGAAGGGAGCACCTGTGCCTCCAAAGACCCAGGAGAAGCAGAGGTTTAAGATACCTGAGCGGCTGAGGCAGGAGCTGCTGCAGGTGTCACCCAGAGCCTCTTCTGAGAAGGGAACACCTGTGCCCATAAAGGCTGCAGAGAGGCAAAGGCTCAAAATACCAGAGCCACTGAGGAAGGAACTGCTGCAGCTGTCGCAACGAGCCTCTTCTGAGAAGGGAGCACCTGTGCCTCAAAAGACCCAGGAGAAGCAGAGGTTTAAGATACCAGAGCCACTGAGGAAGGAACTGCTGCAGCTGTCGCAACGAGCCTCTTCTGAGAAGGGAGCACCTGTGCCTCAAAAGACCCAGGAGAAGCAGAGGTTTAAGATACCAGAGCCACTGAGGAAGGAACTGCTGCAGCTGTCGCAACGAGCCTCTTCTGAGAAGGGAGCACCTGTGCCTCAAAAGACCCAGGAGAAGCAGAGGTTTAAGATACCAGAGCCACTGAGGAAGGAACTGCTCCAGCAGAAGCCTCAAGCCTCTCCTGCGCAGGGTAAACCTGTGTCTTCCAAGTCCCCACAGGAAGCACCTTTACCTGACAGGAACCCTGTACATACCGGGACCTCACAGGGAGCAGGAGTGCTTGCCAGTTCTCCACTGCCCACTGGGTGTCTGAAGGAAGCAGCAGTGCCCAACAGAACCATGAAGGCAGGAAAACGGAGGCTTGCTGAGCATCTGAGCATGCCTGTCTCTTCCACCCAGGGATTACCTATGCCCTCCAGGACCTCAAAAGTGGCGCCTGTGTATTCTGGGACCTTACAGGGAGCACTTGTGACCAGAAGCTCCCCACGACAGGGCGCAAACCCTAAAATCACAGAGCAGCAGAAGCAGAAGCGGAGGGAGCAGTGGAGACAGCAGCAGAGACAGCGGAGGCAGCAGAAGGTATCAATAAATTCTTTCCATTTCTGATTTTTACTTATTTTCAGATTTATTCGATAAATTAAACACTGTCTTCACCTAAGCAACTATGTTATCTAGGTCATTTATTTAAAATCACATGAATTAATTTTTTTAAATGATAGAAAGATATATCTTTGTATTTAAGAAGCACTCCTTAAACCTGCCCAGCATTTCATGGTTATGTCTGTTTCTTCAACAGGACAATATAGATGTGTGTGAGCCTCCGCAAAAAATACTCTGTGTGGAAATCGACAAGGTGCCACTGAAGCCTAAACTGGGGAGGCAGAACCATCAAGCCCCACAGCCCATGTCCCAGCTCACCCTGAAGATGGTTAGTACCTTCTATCCCACAGTTTTACTTAGAATTATTTAAAAAACACATGCACTAAAGCTTATATTTTCCGAATTCGCTATTTAAAACTGTATGTATTATATTTCAATATGTAAGTTAGTCTGGGATAAGTATATTCTTTTCCATTCATAAACCTCCCTCATACAGTGCTGAAATGGCAGAAGCAATATATCTTTAGATTTTCTCAAAAAATCTGCTTAGTGTTACATCATTATGTCTGTTCCTTCAACAGGACCATGTAGGCGTGAGCTGGTCACCTCCAGAAAAAAGGGAGCGGGTGGCAAACAAAATCAGAGACCAACAACTGGGGCCAGGCAGCTTAAAGCATTTATGTAGTATATTCATATGCTTAATGGAATATTTGTAAATATTTAGTATTCATGTGTATTGTGTTTGAATTTATTTAATATGATTGTCAGTATAATAAAAAATAAAATCTAAACTTTGCAATGATTTATTTATCAATGACAGCTCACATCTATTAACACTTTAAGCCAATATAGATTATTTTTTGGGGTGCCTGCCCCAGGACATTTTTTTGGTTTATTTCCATCAGTGGGTAATTTATATGCAAAAAAACTGTCTTCTTCTTATAGTTTTCTCACTGGATTTGCTATTTGATATGGATACTTAAAATACAATACACCAAAAAGTATCTTTGCATGATTGGCAGCTGACGTACTTTTTGTGTGTGTGTGTGTTAATAGTTTGACGATATGACAGTAATATTAGTTTTTGTTGTTGTTGAGCCAACTCATTGCTGCATGTTTTTTTTTTATGGCAGAGAGATGTTCAGATTAAAACTGAAGGTGCTTGCTGACTAATGTTGGTTCACTGATGTAAATTAAATCTCTTAATCTTTAACCACTGAATCTTTGAAACACTGAAACAGTTTAAAAAGAATTAAAAAGATTGTGTACTACTGAGATGCCACTGTTATGACATTAAAATATGTGGGACCATATGTGTCACGGCAAAGGCTCCCTATAATAAGATCTTAAAAAAATACTAAACAAATGTAAAATGTTCACATATACAGGTGCATCTCAATAAATTAGAATGTCGTGGAAAAGTTCATTGATCACTAGTAGCTCACCCAGAATGACTATAGGTAACACCTGGGTGATTAAGTGATGCATTTTATGACCATGGTCCCTGTCAAACAGATGACTGCTCATGTCTCAGACAGACTCATGTTGTGATTAGCAATTAATTGGTAGTTCTTTATCATTTGTCATTGTTATTAATTGTTGTTTGTTACTGGTTCTAAATGAGGTTCTAAATTTGTTTATACAGTACTGAATTTAGCTTTGAAAAATTAGAAGACACAATTGAATGCATGTTTATTGATTTTAAATGTTAAAATTGACCAGGCTTGATAGTTTTTGTGAGTAAAAAAGGTAGTAAATTGTGAAGATTGAGTTGTGCAAATGAATCCACTAGAGGGCGTAATTGACCACGATTTTAAGTCAGATCTTCAGTCCACAACAATTAATAAGATCATAAACATTTTGCTTGCCGTTGTTGTTGAAGCTACCATACTTACAATATTATTCCCAGATGTTTCGTTTCAGCTGATAAACTGTTTTTAAGTCTACAGTAAGACAAATAACTACATTAAACTAATGAACTGTTTCATAATGTTTGAATTAAATGCCTTTTGTTGAATAGTTTATAGTTTCTTTATCAAATTTATTTAAATATAATTAGATTACATAGGCCTTTTATGAGCAAATATTGCCTCATTGTGTATAAATAACAATTAAAGGTTATATTTGTGTGAAAAGGGTTTCATTAATCATATTATTTGATACATTTTAGTCTGTTTAGTGTAATGCAAAATTTAGATTATTATTATTATTATAAAAAAAATATATAAAATAAAAAAATAAATTAAATATAAAAATTTTTACTAAAATAGCATTTTATTTATTGTTTATTTGATGTTTGGTTTTTCATAGCATTATGTTTACATTGGCTTTACCAAGCTTTTTTTTGTTTTTGGCACAAAGAGTTGAAATGTTTATTGGATGCTTATATGTCATTGTCAAGCGTGCAGTAGGTTTGCCATTATTTGGTCAACCTAAGAGTTTTACAGAAATATCTACACATTCTGCGTCCCAAAAAGTCCTGCATGGTGTGTTCGGTTCTTGATCACCATCTACATATTTCAGAGTGAATATAGAGACAGTGTTTCAAAACCTAACGAGTATTTTTACATCATGCATGCGTTCCAGGTCACTGAGCAGCGTGAGCATGTGAGAACGTGTCTGTGATGCCCAAAAAATGCAGTCTACCTGTATGTAGGCAAGTCACATTGAAACACGGCCAAACTAACAGCATAAACTTTTTTCAGTGTCTTGCGTGTTGCCATTGTATAATGGTGTTCCTCTCCCAGAGGCAACAACGGTAACCCTTAATGGAAAAAATCATGTTTTATTGATGAATCTGACTTTGCTCTGGGGCTTGACTACAATGACTGTATACACTGTTTGCAAGTTATTGCTTCAGTGTGAAGTGATATGCCATTTATCATAGTTCATCTGCTGTGATGGAAAGAAGGCAAGATGTCTTTTAATTAAAATCTCTAAAATGTGCTTAACAAATTGGTTGAAGGCTCCAATATTA